GGTTGGTTTGGTTTTAATTTAAAATGTTGTATGTGGCCTTGGGTAATTGAAAACTTTTATTGAAATATGGTGGTTTTAACTGTGTTATGCTGGAATTGACTCCACTGATCATGAAGAATTGAATAATACTCATTTGTCATGTAGAGTGTTGACTCAAACACGGATGAGATCAATTCAGATGACACAGGCTGTCACAAAACCCAGCTGTTGACTCTGCTCCTCTTTCCTTAGGTTGCTTTCTCTGTGGCAGGGATGGCTGACCCATGAAGCAGTTCTTTAACAGCCACAGTTTGTAGCTTGATTTATTCAGGTAAACCAATGGTGACTTTAAGTTGTTTTAATGCACTGGACTGGCAACTCTAACAGCTTAGGAGCTGCTTCCCGTGTAAATCATCAGTGCTAGTAGAGTAGTGGCAGTCTCTGGAGAGGAGTGAATGCCTGGTAGGATGTTTAAGCTGTGTTGGTGGGTAAATATTCTCTGCTTCTGATTCACAGCTAACTTGAGAAAGAATCTTTGCAGTGGTCTGCCAGCATATTCTATGGCTCCAAGCGATTAATTTCAAACTAAAGGAAATTTTCTCCAAGAGCTTTGGTTGTTAATCACATCTGCAGAAAAGACAACAAGAAACGTTAGAACAGATACTCACTCTTCTTTGGGGTGTCCATTTCACTGGGGTTGGAAGAGGACCAATTTTTAATCATTTACCACTTTTGAAAAGGTACATGGTGAACACAGGAACAGGAGCCAAGAAATTTATTGGCCAGGGCTGATTTTGTTGAACAAATTACTGAAGTGTTAAAGGGGGAGCCGTTCTAACAAGGCTACCAGATAGGCTGCTTGAGAGGGAAGAGAGAAAATGGGCTTGGTTTTGAGTGGTGGTGGTGTCATAAAGGCTGCCAATTTTCCTTGGTTTCCCTTCTTTCCCTTTTAGGATAATACTTTGCTGAGCTCACAAGACAACTCTGAGGATTGTGGATTTAGTGTAATTCTCACTACAGTCAGGAAAGCTAACATTGATAGCAGTAGGTGAAAGAGACAGCCTTGTTTTAATAAGCTAGTGCCTAGAATTATCTCAAATTGAGGTCTTTTTGTTTATTTGTATTTAGATAAGTACTATGTAAACTTTAGATTTTTGCCTTTGAAACAGAATTGTTTTCCCAAGAAGCAGTCTAAATAGCAGAACTTAATGCTTTTTTTGCTGTTGATTATGCCTTTATAGCTTTTCTTTGGAGTTATTTTATAGAGAGGTAAAAATGCAATACAGATATCTTATATCTAATAAACTTGTGGGCCAGATGCTGTTCTTGCCTTTTTTCTCCAGTAGCAGGATTGAATTCCTTGCACTACAGCAACTGTAGACTCATTACACTGCATTTAATACAAATTGCAGAAAGGGATGACCCTTTGCTAGGACTCTGTGTTGTTTGTATTGCTAAGCCTTATCTGTGTCTTTCAGCAAAAGCCAGTTTAATCCTTAAACATTTGTACATATAATGTCTGTTCAGAATTGTCCATTGTTAGCTGTCTGTGTGCTCATTGATTGTAATGTTGTGTCTCCACAATGCCTGCTATTTGCCCCTTGGATCTTCACTGTGCAGGGTAACTGTTATCTTCCTTGCTGATTGCATATCACTAACCAGTTAAGAGCTGAAAACTCTTCCAGCATAATGGCAAGTTCTACTTTCGCCAGGATGGCTTACTAATTAATTAACCCCTGGGATGGAGAGGCTTCCTGTGCCAACTTAAGAAAAAGTGACAGAAAGATACGGTTATATAGTGGAAGGGAAATTGATTGGAAGTATTTTATCTGCCTTATAAGAATTATGTTTTCTAATACTATTAGTCTGCCTGAAACAAGCTTGGAAACTAACTGAAAAATAGATACTTTGGAAAGGGTTGCTTCTTTGACTTAACATCTTCCTTTGGTATACGAGCTGTAAGACAACTGCTGTTACCATCACAAGAAGAATGGACCTGTAGTAGGAGTGCGTGGAGGCAAGGTGTGCAGGAGGCAGTAAATATCTTTTCTTTCCAGTAGGCCACAAGCTTTTGGCTTTAAATAGGTCACTGTTCAAATGTAGCTGCCAAGTAGTTACATGGGAGGGAAGAAAGAAAATAGGCTTGGTTTTGGCTGGTGGAAGGGGTTGGAAAGGCCATGAAGAGGCAAGGGGGAGACTGCCGTGCAGAGTGCTCTGCAATGTGCCTGTCAGACATTGCTGAAAGCGAGCGAGTGGCTGGAGTACGGTTTCACTGTCCCAGGCTGGTGTGGATGGGGTGTCTGTAATGCATGGCTTCAGCAGATTTGTCCTGTCAACTTCAAGAAATCTTGTGATATCTTCATAGTGCTGGAGGTGTGATTTACTTTTTATCAAGGAGTTTTTTCCAGGTCTGTAAGATTAAACTTGGTGTGTCTGTAGCAGACTTGCACCAAGCAGAGTACGTGAAGATAGATGTGATGGGTGTAGATTTCTTCGGTGAAGAGCAGTAACAAGGCCTGGGAGCTGGAAGGAAGCTCGAGAATTTGAGATTTAACTCCCAGTAGTTTCTGAGATAAAAAGCTTTTGCTGCAGAAATTCTTCTCCCTTCAGGACAGGGAAGCAGTAGCAGATTTCGGGAGATGCTTCCTTTAAGCTAGAAGTGTTTGGACTTTTGACTAGTGATCTGTTAACATTTGGACATTTCAAGCTTGACAACGGTTTACTAATATACCAAAATGCAGATATTAGTCTCCAGCGGTGTGTCTTCATGGGTTTCCCATCAGCTGTACACATGTGCAGGGGTGGCTTCTGCATTTTACTCCAGTGAGTGGCGGTTCACGCAAAATACGATAAGTTAGACAGGCTTTCTCGTTTTGGCTGGTTAGCTCAGTCTGCCGTCTGTCTAGGAGCAAAAATGGGTGCTGAGCTATGAGAGACTTTGTAACCACACAGAGGCCCTGGTGCCCAAAGGAATATTACTTTGTATAAAAGATGATGGTGGAAAACAAGACTGTCATGGTATCCATGTTTCTTGTCAGGGGAGAAGTGCCACTAAAAGTGAAATGGGTGGGGGACTGTAGCACCACTGAGCGCAAAATCATGTCTTAGAAGTTCGTGTTTGTGGCTGGGAGGATGCGGATGATGCTGACCAGTAGTGCTTCTCTTTATTCCAACTTGTTATGGGTTAGCTTTGATTAACTATAGCGTGTATGTTTGCTGATTGATGTGTGAACTCTTCTCATTCACTATCCTTTTTTGTTGGGCTAAATTTTTTTCCCTTTTTTTCCCCCTCTCCCCACTTTTTTTAATAGAAGCTATAAAAGCACAGTAGCATAGGGACAATGCAGGCAACTTTGTACTAGAGACTGCCAGCACAAAAAGAGAGGGATGGGGGACACAAATTTTGTTATGAAAATGAGCATGCGAGTAAAATACAGGTTCAAACTGTGTGTTTGCTTGGGAAAGATTATGATCTAAACTTGACATAAACTGTAGCGAGCAACCAGAGAACTGCCATATGGAGGAATAGCAGCTGTGCATTATTAAGATCATACAGTTAACAGTTTATAAATTTCTACTGAGCAGTGTCTGCAATTCAGCAGCAGAAAAAGTGTCCTTCATGGGGAGGCTTGAGTGAGAAGAGGATGGGGAGACAGTTTTGAATAGACATTGCATGTGCAAAAGGGATAGGTTGGGGAAAAACTGCCTGGAGTTGGAAGGGAGGCATAAATCCAGGTGTAAACAAAACTAGTTTGTTACTCGAAGATGAAGTAACTGGTGGAACTGACTACACCAGATACTCTCAACATCTCACAGAACAAATGACCAAAGGAAGGTCAAAGTGTCACTAACCTTTTGTTGTTTAAAAAAAAAAATTTAAAAAAAATTGAAAATGAATACAACTGTTATCTGCAGTTCTTTTCACTGCGTAGAGCAGATGTCAGCAATGCTCGAGTACATTGTTACACACCATTTTTTCTGTCCCAAATTAGAGTTTAAGTGTGAAAAAAGACATCATGCATAATCCAAGCTCAGCTGTTTCTCAAAGAAGCGAGATGCTACCATGATATTCATGGCATGTTGCCGCTACATCAGTAGCTAGAAGTATCTCCTCAGACTACAGAGGTCACTGGCAAACCTTAGCAGGGAGCTGCTCCCTCTCAGGAGACCGGAGCTGCCAAATCTCAGCCTTATTACACACTATTCAAAATCAGCCCAGTTACCACCTTTGTCCTACAGCTGTAAGTGGCTGACACCCATTTGAGGGTGACCTGGTCAGCTTTATGGGAACAATTTAGCTGTCCATACAGGAGAAGCTAATAAAGAGTATATTCAGCTTCCAAATCTCTACAAGGATCCTTCCTGAATTGAGTGCTGGGTTTTTTTGACATCAACTCGGTGATAAGCAAAGAATTGGCTTTGGTAATGGCAGAAGATAGCAGGCATTAAACAGGGAAATCTGAAGAGGTAAAAGGGGAAAGTAACAATTACGAAGTTATTGGAGCCTGTATGCCCAAAATAAAGAAGGGCTGGCTGCTTTTGTTTTATATAAAAGAAGCCTCGCCCACCACCATAATGAAGCACAGGGTGAACAATGAGGAGAATATCTTATGGAAGGGGAAGAGAATGACAGAGGGAAAAAATAATCAAGTACACAGAAAGGAACAATTAGTATCCCACAATCTAGCTTGTTTAGAGAAGTGTTGTATTTGGTTCTCTGTTTATGGCTCCATAGAGGAGAAATCCCTGAAATTCTGTTCCATTTGAAGGAGCTGGGCAAAATGCTGTTGCTGTGGAGTTTGAGTACTTCAAGTAAATCATCATTATTGATACTTTGAATATTTCATGTGGTTACACAAAGAGAACATTGTGTTAGATAGGTTCCTGTGTCACTTCATCAGGTCTGCTGTGTTATTGTTGTAAAATCACAAGCTATTTTTTCATTCAGCTGAAACCTATGTGAACAGGCCTTTACTTGTGTACAAAATAATTATAAATTCTCCTGCGTTCACAGGTTTTGAATGCAGTCTGAGTCCAAGAAGTATGAAGAAGAGACACCTTCTCTGCATTGGGGGATGGATCCTGTATTTTCTGCATTTGCAAGACTCTATATTAAAGATATAAAAGAAATGAGAGAATCTAAACAAGTGCCAGGTATGTACTTATGTGTGCTGATTATGATGCACACAGAATTATAACTGATTTATGTTGTGCTCTCTATCAAGGGGTTGCAGAGAGCTTCACGAACACCAGTAATTTTCCATGCCTCTAAGATAAATGACATTAGTATATTTAACAGTTCTAAGAACAACAGGTTGTAGTGAAATATGTGTGAAAAATGTGTTTGTTCTAATGGCTTTTCTTCCTCTCACATACATATATATATAGAGAGAGAGAGAGAGGGAGCTACCTTTTACGTTAAGGTAACGTGTTTCTTCTGTGTGGTGGTGCTTGTTATAATCTGATAAAATTAATTCTAAAAATGCAGTCTTTTCTGGCCATATGTGTTATATCTTTCAACATTTGAGAAGGATTTTATGCGTTACCTCATTGTTGCAAAATTTTGACAGTTGATGACATTGCTGTGTGTCACAAATGCATTGTATGTGTTTTGCTTTTTCCTCTGGATATTAATATATTATAAACCAGATACAGGTTCTGCGGTTTTGTCTCCTTAATTTCTAGATATGATAGACATATGACATTCTTCATACATTTGAACAACTTTACTGTAAATTCTGGAATCTGTGCTGAGTCTTATACCGCACCTTTAATTTCCTAACCATTGTTGAAAATTGTATGCTTTGCAGTCTGTTTCCTGCTGGTCTTCAGCCAATATCACCCACATGTGTACATTGTCTAAAGCAACACGGGTCTGACCTTGAATTTCTGTTTTCACTACAAAGACTTCAAATAGACTGCAGTATGTTTTCTACTGTAGAAGTGTTCATTACACCACACTGAAGCTTGACAAGATGCAAGATTATCAGGGAGGAACCGAAGGAACTTCGAATTAATGAGGAAAAGCAGTAAACCCTAAGCAGAGTGTGTGTTTTAGGTTTGCTTTTGGTGCTTTTTTTGCTTTGTTTGTTTTTGTTTTTCTTTTTTTTTTTGCTCCACAGAGACAAGGTACATCTGTTTGGCTCTTGGAATATGCTCTGCCTTGTAGGTTTTGTTGTTATTGTTTATTTTTCTTTTAACAGCAAGGATAACAGCAGTGCTATTGCAGAAATGAAGGACTGACCTTTTTTTGCTCTTCTCACAACCATTTTTATGTATGTGGGGACTTCATGAACTGCAAAGCCCAGTGTATATACCTCTTTGTTATTTAACATGATGCGAGATTTTTGTCTTAAATCCATTGCAAGAATTAGGCTGTAGTCTGCTGTTGATGTTTGTACTAGAGTCAGTAGTATTTAGAGGCCTTTTTAAAGTGCACAGTCTTATAGTAGTACTGGTGTAGCTAATGCATCTGGTAAAAACTGTTCCTACTTCAATTAGAGACACTTCAATTGCAAAAAAAATACAGGAACAATTCAATGTCAGCAGAATAGGATTGGAGTTTGGAGTTGGACGTTAGTACATACACATGCAAAAATATATTCAGAAGAATTAAACTTGTTAATATCAACAAACATTTCACAAGAGCAGGAACAGTCCTAGAAAGTACAATCCTGTTCTCTTTTCACCTCTAAATTACCTGAATTTCCCTTCTCACTTCCCTTCCTGTTCTTTTACTGAAGTGCATTGTCTTCTGCTTCAGGAACTCGTTCAGGTATTTTATTACTTTTTTTTTTTCTTAAGATGATCCTAAGGAAGTGGTATATGTCATGTCAAGATATCAGCCTTTAAAACTGGTGCATGTGAGCTTTCGCCGCTTCCTGTGCATCTGGTGTTTTGCACAACTGAGCTTGCTTGCAATCCTGTATAATGTTCTAAATAAAACTTTAAAGAATAAAATGAAATGTCATAGAACAACATCCTAGATTTTATTTTCTTCATTCTCCTGGTCTTACGTATATACCAAACCAGACATCTTTCAGTGTATCTTATTTATTGGCAACAAATGATAGCACAACAGAAACACTAAATAAATATCTTTCAGGGAAGGAAGAAGTTAGGTGTTCGCTGTCAATGTTTCCTGCCTTTAATGGGTTTGTTAAAGACCAGTTGAATCTAAGCATAGGATTGGCTATAAATCAGTCATTAAGTAATGGTAATTAAGAATGAATGAGTGCAAAACAAAGAGTGGTAACTAGGAGGAATGGAAAGAAACACAGACTGAATGTCAGGAAAAACATCCTTAGAATGACATCCGCTAAACCGTAGAGCAGCCTTCACAGGAAAAAGGTGGGATGCCCTTCACTGGGATTGTTTATATCCTGACTGTACAGATTGCCAGGAATTTACTGTACGGAATGGTGTTGCATTGGCCCTGAGGAAATGGACTGAATGACCTAATAAGTTTTTTCTTTCCATTTTTAAGTATTAAGATTTGATGCCACAATGACTAATCCATTAAAACAACACAGAGGAAAGCGGTAAACCTGGCCAATTACTCTGCTGCTATAAATGGTGACAAGCAGGCTGGAAAACCTCCCAGATAAAAACAGCAATTGTGTTGTCTTAGAGGCCTTGAAATGAGAGTGGGTGTCAAACTCTGTTGTAACACATAATCACATCATGGAAATGAGCTTTTCGCAGAGTTATCATGCCCCACTGCATTGTGACAGCTTATCAACAAGCAAGGGAAGCTACAAATAGCGTAAAAGGAGGTAATAATAATTAAAGCAATGGCAAACAGCTTAGTGTTCAGTAGTGCTGGTAAAGACATGACCAGAACTTGCCCTAGAGAGCTCTGTGTCTATAGCTCCCTACACCGCTGCTGTGGCTTCCTGTTGTGGTAACAGCCGATTAATGTATGTGTTATTTACTGGGTTACTGGGAGCTTGACTGAATGTGCCTGAGCATAGCTTCAAATGTTTAGTATATTTTTATTGCTACCAATAGGAACATAATTTGAACAAATAAGCTGTCAGGAGAAACAATTTACACCTTGAAGTCGTCAAGTTCAACAACTTTTAATAACGTAAATATAACTTCATCTTTCAAATTAATTCAGTTAATTTCTCGGACAGTAAGGGTGGAGTTCTATGTGAGTTTATGGGGAGAACCTGTTCTCTCTGGTCTCTGTCATTTGCCAAAACTGAGCTTACTAACTGGGAAATAAACATGGTAACATGTTCTTTGTTTGCACAGGCAAGAGCTTGGAGTCTCTGCTCCACAGACTTAACCTGAAACTCACTCAGACCTTGTTTTTTAGAGATTTTGTAAGGTTTCATGAATAATTATATACACTGAGACCATCTCCATTGAGAGTTTCTATAGCTGTGTTTGTTGGTGTCCTGGTAAATGGAATGAGAGAAAAGTGGACAGACCTGCTAAACATTCCCTACATGAGACCTGACCAGTGACTACATGATTAGTATAGCCAGCTCTAAGAAGACAGTGACAGATGCGTTCTCAGAACATTGCAGTGGATTTTTATGAGCAAAACCTCTGTTTATGAGCTGCTTGGCTGATCACCTGTGATTTCTTCTGAAAGTTTGGGGTTTTTGTCTGTCTTATGTGAAAAAAGTTAATTCCAGGCGCGTTTAAGGCTGCCAGCTATGCAGGACAATTATTTTTGGATTTTGGTTTTGATTTTTTTTTTTAATATGGAAAATTTTTCTGACTCCTTTGCTGCAACGTTTCTTTTTCCCTTTGTAAGAATAAGAATTGCCACAGTATCTGGAGCCAACTCTTCCCTTCTGAGTCCCTTGAGTTATCTAGTTTTTAAAAGACAGTTTTTGAACATCGCAGATAGCATATTTCAGTAAAGCAGCAGTATTCAAAAACTGAAGAAAATGTATGGACTGAAAATTAGCCAGCCCAGGATATATCTGGAGCTTATTGCCCTGTTATCCTCCTGCTAGTGGACTGTGAAGCTTCAGCATATAACATTTACATCGGTGTTTGTTAACAACATCTGTCACTCTTGAAAGGGATTACAGCATGTGGCAACCTCAGTACCGTCAAAGCCCACTGGGCTCTGATTCCTCACTGTTTCCTGGACGTGTTTTTACGCATTATTCAAGTCATCTTTATAGAAGCACAAAAATAGCTTTGAAGTGATGTTTTTAGAAAGTGTTATTTCAGAAACTGAAGTTCAGGATGCTGTCCACGATGACTGCACAGTGTACTCCGCAATCTGAGAGGGTTCTTTCTCTCCCACCAACCCCCATGGCTCCTGTTCTTTTAGAAATGAAAGACAGAATTATGTTAGTTTTCCTTTTGGAGACTCTGCCTTAATCGGGAACAGCTGCGTTGTGAGCAGCTCAAACTGCTTCCATTGTGTTCTGTTATTTATTCTGAAGCCTGATGAAGATGTTAAAAAAAAAACCACCAAAAAACAAAAAAACCCAACAAAACAGCAACAAACAAACAAAAAAAACCTGAAAAAGCTCCTAATGCCTGCAGCGAACAAACTGTTCTTCAGATCCAAATGTGCAAGAAAACAAGAGGTTAATAAAGTTCTGACACCCTACAAAAACACGCTTTTGGTATCCTAGGTAGAGCTGATAGTTCTTCCTGCTAGTGTTCCCAGTCCTCTCTGATCCAGGGGATTTTTTTTCACGTGACTAGACCTTGTATGATTTAAGATATATTAAATATGTAAAAAGGTATGTTTTTTACTGACAAATGTGACTATGTAGGATGAGGTGTTGAAAGAAATAGTTACACTTACCAAGAAAGTTCTGTGTTCTAGGTATATTCTTTTATAATGGACATCCAGTAAGACAGGTGGATGTTGTCGGGATGGTGGTTCAAACGAAGGAGCGAGAAGCCTTTTATAATTATGGAGGTAAGAAAATTTTCTTTCTTCTTTCATTTAGCAGCCTTCTAATCTTAGTTACTTTTAGAACTTAAAGGTTGCCTTACTTGATCATTGTCTTTTCTTGATATAACTGTTCTGTTATCCTAATACAGCGTATATATGCAGCTCAGATTACTTAGCAAATTTAGGGATGCTACTGTTTACCTCCACTTCAAAAGCAGAGAAACAAGTAGTTAAAACAGAATAACTGATTCATTTGGGGTCAACTAGCAAATCTTCGTTTTGGTTGTTGCTTTGCCGCTGGACTCTGCCATCTTCCTCTCATATATGTGTGTGTATATATATATATATGCACAGTTCTTTTGGTCAGTTATAAACGGATTTAAGAGTCCTGCAAATGGGAAGTCTCTTCTTCCTTTCCTGGACCTTAGAAATCCCTGCTGACTTTTTGTATGTTTTGTCATAATGTGGTGCCAGCTTTTAATAGCAGTCAGGAGTTTGTTTATATTTAGATGTGTAAGAGTCTTAGCAAATCTAACTCAAGCATCATAGTACCAGTCCTTGCCAACACCAGCTGGGAGTTGTCTCCTCGCTATTGCTTTTGCCAATACTGAGACTATTTTATTAACATGAAAACATCTGATTGTCATTTTGTTCAGCTGTCTTTTTCATCTGGAGAAAAAGCAAAGTGGAGTAGTGGTGATGTGGCAAGTTTCAAAAGGTGGGGGAGGTCATCTCACAGTAGGAAGGGGGAGCCAAGTGCATAGATCCTTTTGAAGCACTTGAAGGACTCATGTCCAGTGTCTTCCTCTGCCATGGGTTTCCACCTGATGGAGGTAAGTCATGCACCGCCCCTTCTTACCCAATTCACTTGCTTATGAAATGGAGTCAGCAGCAATTCCCTGACTCACGGGAGTGTTGTGAAGATACAGTTCACAACTTAACCAGGTCCCAGCTTCCACACCTGCAGTTGCATCATGCTGCTACAGAGTAGCATTAACTGCTGTGGGTATAGCATACCCTGCACTGGGTGCGGCTGCTCAGAGTTGACTCTGCTTTGCAGAAACGTCCACGCAAGTTTCTTGGAGTGGGTGTTTTCTAGATTTTTTTAAGTCTAGTTTCTGGATGTTTGTTATGGCCCTGCCATTACGCTGTATAACGAATTGGCAGTAAATATTTTGAAGCACAAGTTTCTCTGGCACTTGAAGTAGCACAGGCTAAACAAGCACCTAAGTTTAGAGGCGGAGATGTAATTGATGATGTAATGAAGTGTTGAAACATAAATTGAAGGTCAGCTCTTACTCTTTTATTGCATTGGTATGTAAATGCAGTTATTTCGTGAGAAGAGAGGAAGACAGAATCAAAATAACCAAGGCAAAAACAATTCTACGGGCCAGGGTTTCCCATGCTGCTCTCAGTATTAGTTCGGGTGTAAAGTTGTTGGAAATGTTTGGCTGGGGCAGAAAATGGAGCAATAGAAATAAAAAGAAGCTGCAGAGTAGTGGAATTAAGGCCTTCGTTTTAGATCAGCCGACCTTTAAGTACAGCTCTCAGTGAGCCTGGCTTCCTGCTGTCCTTTCCAATCCAGCTCCACGCTTTGTTCCAGCAGTTCCTGGTTTGAGCTTTCAGGCCACCTGCCAGGGTGCCCCTCCCCAGCCTGCCCTCCCCTTCAGGCAGGCTGACTCTGCCAGCCTAAAATTGTAACTTCTTAGACAGTTTCCTGCTTGTAACTGCTTGTATCTCTCAGTTCGACAGACTCGGGTTGGTGAGTCACAGGGCAGGCGTTGCGTCAGTTGGAGCGCTGCACGCTGCTCAGTACTTGCTCGCTTTCCTTCTACTTAAAAGTGACTTACAAAGCAATTCCCCCTTTTTACTTTTTCTCTGATAGAGGACTGAAATGTCTTTGTGTCACTGCCACTCTCTCTCCCCCTCATTTTCTATCTGTCTACTTCAGAACACACACCGCTTTTTTGAAGAGAATCTTAGGTCCTCTCTCTGCTGAAAACCATACAGCCTGAACTGGTGATAAAATAATATTTGTAAAAGAGAATGAATTGACTCTTTCCTAACTAAAAAAAAAAAATTAAAATTACATGTTTTGTAAAACCTGATTTTGACATTTTGATTTGACTGTTTTTTGCTATTATTAGGAGCAATTAGGAGAAGGATATCTAATATAAGTGTAGCTTTGAACAAGCTCATATTTTAGCTAATGCACCTTCCTGACCTCTTTTTTTTTTTCTTCCTTTCCTTCTTAACAAAACCAAACATCGTGTGTGCTTTTCCTTATACTCCAGAACTGTTTTGAAAGGCTGAAAGGCACTTGCCTTAAAAACAAACAAACAAAATCTCAGTAGGCTCATGCAGGCCCTGTAAGAACCATATCCTTTTTGTTACAAAGAAATAAAAATGAACACAATTATCTCACTTACCAGGTAGCTTTGAGAGTGCTACCCCTCAAAAAGTTAATGTAAGAGTCAAGAAAAAAAAACCCAAACCAAAACAGAAAAACCCCCAAAACAAACCCACAAAACCCAAACAAACAGAAGTTTAAACACAAGGAGTTGAGGAAGGGTGGCACAGGGAGCACAGAAAGTTTTCAAAAGCTTGTAGACCCCTTAAGTGCATTTAAAATAGATTAACATTCTCCTGTCTAATTAGAGTACAATTGCAAGACTTCTCATTCATCAGTGGTTCAGGAGGTGTATTTGTCTTCTTGCTCAAAGCTTTTGTTTGTGAACTGGGAAAGCTTTGTTCTGGAGTCTTGCTCTGCTACCAGATTCCCTGTGTGGTCAAGAACAGTTCAATCTCTCCAGGACTCCATTTGCAGCTGTTACATTAGTGAGGGTTTGTCTGGCTTCCTGATCCTTAAGTCTTGTTTGTTTTGTTTCTAAGCCCTATTTAGGAAGTGTATCTGTTGCAGTTGGTGCAACAGAGCCAGTCGCAAGCTGGAACATCTAGAAGCTGCAGTAATGTAATAGTAAAGTGTCATCTGCCTTGTTTCTTATTGCCATTGCTGTCTTGTATGAATGCCTTTGCATGGTATGGGAGGACTCTGACTCCTAATAAAATAGTTACTTTTTGTCTATACTAATGAGAGGAAATCTGACCAACTGGATCATTGTCTGTGCTCTGCTACAAAATTAAAACTGCTGAAATAGCTGCAGAGACAGCAGCTCAAAAGGAGGATAGCAATGAGGTGATCACACTTCTGTGATGGAATTTGGAATTGCCTGCATCTTATAAATGCTGTATTGTTATTATGAATGTACAGCTAAGCCACTGGGAAACAGGAAGGCAAGACAATGATTTGAAATTGGACCCCCCAAATAGGGAGACTGTTTTAAAACATGTGAGACAATGCAAAGGCATGTTACTTTGATGCTGTGATTCCCAGAGGAAACAACTGCAGGTACCAATCTGTACCTTCCTGGTAAACATTGCTGTTACTTTTGTAGTCATGGATGTGGTTTAAGGAGCAGAAGAAAACTGGAGATTCCAATTTGTGAAGAATGGAGGCTCGGTCTTGGAGATGGCTACATTCAAGGAGCAAGGTGCTTGGAGCGTTAGCTGGACTGGAAGTGTGATCCTTGCTGTGGTTTGACAGACATTTAGTGCCTTTTTATTTAGAGAGAGTTTGTTGGACATGCCATCCTTATACAGTCTCTTGATATGCAGAACAATTGATTCTTCTGATAGTTTTTTAGGGTTTTTTGGATTTTGTCTTTTTCTGCTGTTCTTGCCAACGCAGTGCCTGGGGCAGAAATCACAAAACTTTTTTTGATTAGATACTAGCAAAACAGGAAAAGCTAGACAACTCCCTTGCTCAGGAGAAGGTGTTAAGCTTTTTTAGCAACGGAAGTGGCTTGCATGTCACCAGTACGTATGCTTTAAGTTGGGAATTCCTGGCCTAGAGCATAACCACAAGCACTTGCTGTCCTCTGTCCTTCCTGGCTAGAGCAGCTGCCTTTCTGCTCTAATGGAACATCCTCTTGTACAGGAGAGACCAGCAGACTTTGTGCACAATATTAGCATGGAAATCGATGCAGCTGGAGGTGGCAGCACTCCTAATTTATTCACATGACTCTACTCCTCCAATGTTGAAGTGTTGTTTTCCTACTGTTACAGTAATGCTTCTGTGTTTTGTGCCTGGTTTCGTATTTTAATTTTTCTGGCTTTAGCTTTCAACACTGATGTTTTTTCTGAGACTAGTAGCCAATACTGAAGCCTCATAATCTAAATTAGTGGTTGATCTTTTTTTGAGAATATACATGTTACTTTGCTCGCTACGCACATAAGCATGGTATCTGATGCTGAGCTACTTCTCATGACTGAAACGACTGTGGAGATTATTTCAGAGGTGTAAGTAGGGACTGAGCACCTGCTTTCCCTTTCAGACTGGTTGGAGCAAGATACCTTTGGCAGTCGCATCCTATATATCTGTGTATCTTCACTTCTTGCAACATCACTACCTGCTTTCTTACTCTCTAATTCTTGCAAATTTTTTTACAGTGGATGATAGTACAGGAGTTATAAATTGTGTCTGCTGGAAAAATCCCATGGTAGCAGAGACATCTTTATCAGGTAATTTATCAAATAAATAATTCTTCTTTTAAGTGTACATTTTTGCTTGTGTCTGTCTTATGTAATTTGGTAAATGATCAAACTTACAGAAGAGCCAATTCAGCTATTTAATTTTAAACCATGACATCCTACAGCCTGGGCCGTTTTCAGAGTTTCATATTACTTGGTCTTGTGTCCAATGGTCATGCAAAGAAAACCACTGCATTATGACCTGTCTTGCCTTTTCCTTATCTGAGTAATATAGTATTTCACTTCTATGCTGTGACATTGTTCAGAGAATCCACTGCTCATGGTTCTTTTTGTGACTTCATCTAGTGAGGAACTAGGCTGGAAAACTGCCACATACCACAGCTTCTGTTTCCAAAGTCAATCCATTGACCCAGCAGCCTGGTCTGTGTTCCCCACCCTTGTGATACAATGGTTTCAGGACTCGTCTTCTCTTCTTTGTTTCCATTCGTATTCTCCTGCTCATGCTTATGCTGTCAGTGATGAACTCAAAAGTAGCTGAACACACAGTGGGATGATGCCAGCAGTCTTTTACGATTTGGGAAAGTTCTAAATGTGCAGAAATTGTGCATTTGAAATTAATCTATTATTGCACTCGATAACAGAAGAACTCAGCCAGTGTCTGGCTTTCTCTTTGCTTTTTCTCCCACTGTCTCATAGATCAAAGTATGGAGTACTTTCTACTTCGGACCTTCTTGACAGCTCATGTAGTAGATTGACAGCCCTGATATGGAACTGATCAAATACTACTGACATAAATGTTACTAGTGCCATCTGCCAGTGTTGGGGTTACACACACACAGAATGGGGAAAGGAAGCTTGGAGTAAAAGCTAAAAACTCTGTTGTCCGTGGAACAAGCCCATTTATACAGACAGACAATTTGTACTTACTTTTATTTAACAATCATAAGACAAGTGGTATAAACAATCACAACTGGAACTGGAGTCTAGAAGACAGCTCTTACTTTTCGAGAGGTGATATTGTGGCACAGCTTTCCAAAAAAATAATGGGCACCCACAATCAAAGCAGTTTTTTATGAGAAACTTAAATTCGTTAAAGGAATTGCATGAAATACTGCTTGAAATAGAATGAGGTCCCAGAATACTCGTTTCAGCCTTCTGTTCTTATTTTTGATGTACATCAGTAGTGCTTGAATGGGCACTGTATTATTAACAGAAATAAATTCATTTGTACCTGTTAAAGAAAACAGCTGCTAGGGGGCACAGGAAGCTTTCTGCCAGCCTTTTGTAATTGTGATCAGGGATACTTGGTTCATTAATCAGGTTTTAAGTTATGAAGAATTTACTCTCTTGCAAAAATGTGTTACGTAAACGTGAAGTTCTGTCAAGTTGTATTCACTTCAGTGTAGACACCAAATTACATCACATGAATACTTTGGCCCCACCTCAGATGACTCGTTCTTCTTTTATGTAAAAAGTCTAGCTGACCTTTCTTTCCCCCTCTCATCCGTCTGAGCATGACAAAATCAAAAACTTACAAAACCCATTTCAAAATAAGATTTCAATTTTGCAGCCCATCTATGACATTTTCAGTGGTAAATCAGTATCTCCTCCCTTTTACACGTTCCCCAGGTGAACTATTTAAATAAATATAATGCTGTAAACTAACTTTGTCACCCAAAAGTTTTGCTACCCAGGACACCTGGGACCTTACCCCTTATTACTAAAAAAGACTCCTGTGATGCTTAGGTGTTTGGATGAACACAAAAGGACAGTACTCTTGGCCTTGACACTTGACCTCCTTTCCCCCACTTCTTACAGGTCATCTAAGCACACCCAGCAGTCTCACTGTGCTTAAACAGATGAAGAAACTCCAAGAAATGGTGGGCCAGAAAACCAAGCTGGAGATCGGGGATGTTGTCAGGGTCAGAGGTCACATCCGAACCTACAGGCAACAGAGAGAGATTCAGGCTTCATGTTTCTGTGAGTGTTGTGGATCTGTGACTTCTGTAACTTAGTTGTCTGAATTCGTGAGAAGACCTAAGCTGCATGTAATTCATTGAATCATTTCCACTTTATTTTCTGGCATCTCATTTTTCTAAAGAGGTTTTAATCTGTGTGTCTTTATTTCAGTTTTAACTGTGTAAGGTTAGAAAACACACTACTTAATGTGTGGGATTAGATTGCCTGTAAATGAGGTATTCCTGGAAAAATCTATAAAAGATTACTAGCATGCATACAAGAATGCGATGCAGGTGCTGTGGTTGGGTGTCTGTGAGAGTGACTTGCTCTTCAGTGTCTTTATGTTGACGTAGAACATCCAAAGCCCATGGGAAGGGTCTTGGTGACCTTTTGTGTCACACTTCACCAAAAGTGTTAGCTGCTTTGGAGGAATGGTTGCTCTTTGTCGCAGCCTGTATAATCCATTCCGTGGGCAGACATCAGCATATGGGCACACTGTCCCACTGAAGCCCAGGTTCTCCTAAACTCTCTGGCTCTGCAGAATGACTGAGGAGTGTTCCTCCTCTTCAGTCACTCGGGCACAGATCTGCGTGCAGGTGCTGCCCCTGTGTCTGACAGCTCTTTGGGCAGCAGGCTTCTGCAGTCCACTGTTTATGCCCTAGGAGCTTCCAGTTACGTATCTTCTTCTCTCCTCCGCATCTGTGTTGTTGGGTAAGAGTTGGTTTTCCCCAGTGAAATCTTTGAGAGACAATTCTGAAGTGACTCGTTTGGTGGGAGAAAGCCCGTCTTACGAGAACCTTGTGTAGCTCACATAAAAAGTCTAGTTTTTTTTCAGCTCTACCTATAATCCGGGAGGGAATCCAACCTTCCTTTCCAGACAGAAGATTTATGAATATATAACCTGTTCAAGGGCTGGTAATACCATTGTTTCATTAAAGGAGAGCCATGCAATTCTAATAGCCTCTAAATTGCTTTCATTTTGGCCCAAATAAAGCTCCTTACTATGTGTTAAATTCATCTAATGGATAAAGACTGCTGAAAGGTGAAATAGACATCGTAAATTCTGTTTAAGTAAGGTGTCAGACAAAAGCATAATTTCAGTGTGCCACAACAGGTCATTTACCTCCTTGTGAACTGTAAAAGCAGGAGTAGCCTTTGTGGTTTTGTTTTTATAAAAACAACTGTGAACAAAATTTGCCAATTTAATACTGGCAGCTCTGTTGTGCTGCCTCAGGTATACTTGCTTAAAAGATTGGTATGGCAGTCCTGACCAAATATGCATGTTCTTTTTGCCACTCTAGATAAAGTGGATGATCCTGTGTGTGATGTTCAGATTTCAAGAATGCTGGAGCTCCCCTGTCTCTATAGAGAAGTTTACGATAAACCTTTCCAAGGCTTCAAGGAGGGGCAGAGGTAAATGCAGTAGCCAGACTGGTCTTGAGGCAAAGTGGGGGATTTTATTTCTGTTTGTTATTGTAATAACTGTGGAGAAAGGTAGCACAAGGCCCGGCTGTGATTTAGACTGCACATGTGTACAGTAGCAGTCTGCTTTTCTCACAAATAATTGACAGTCCATACAGCTGAGATACCTGTCCATAATCTGAGAAAAGAAATACAATGCTGAACCAAAGTGAATATTTGGAAAGTAGTAAAACACTGTGTACAGACATCTTGCATCTAGTAAAAAAAGCTGGGTTTTGAGCAAGATTTGGGGATGAGGTCAATGGATTAGATGGAGCAGTGTTCTTGCCTGATTTTGTTTTATGTGTAAGGATAAGGAGCTACTCCATTGAAACGCCCTCAACTTCTGCTGCCCTTGTCATCATCAAATTATAAATACGTAACCTCAATAAAATGAGTTAAACGCCCATTCCTGTATTCAGTTTGAGGGTAGCTGGATGCTTATTAGCAGGTCTGATGCACATAGTGTGGTTTCAGAGATTGCAGATCTTAATATCACAACACTGTTACAGCAAATGATTGAAGAGAACAGTTGAATGTTTATTGCATATAAAAATGGTCTGTTTTAATTAAGGGTTTAAATTCAGATTTTTAAAGGACAGCAAAATGCCTTTTGACCTTTGAAAACCAGTCTAGCAGGCTAACTTTAGGTAATTGTAGTAAAAAAATGTTAGTAGTATATTTCTTGCCTTTTGACATGTTCTCTGTATCCTTGTAGTGGCCTGGAAGGTCAGAATTTCTCAGTCGATATACTACAGGAGAAAGTGAAAGGATTTCTATTAGAAAACAAAATTCAGACCTTTTACCAGCAGGAGCTGGAAACAATTGATACTCTAGTGTCCCTGGCTGGTGGGCATCTACCCAGTCCCAGCTGTCAGGAGGTGAGTGAATTTAACAGTTTCAAGTTTTTAGTGGGAGAAATAATACCATGTACTTTTTTTAACCATAAACAACCAGATAACAGTCTGGTGCCTTCAGAGGATTCAAAAACCACAAGTGTTTTAGCTTTATGCATGAATTATTTACAGGGCTTGAGGAAACCTTGTCACTGAGACATGTAAAAGTAGACTGAAGAAAGCCCTATGAGAAAATTCTGCTGTTGAGGGTAATCTTGTATAAGGGCTGCCTACAACAGGCACTAACTTACCTAGCTCTGTAAATAGTGGCAGTATTGGAAAAAGAGATCCCCTTAAGGTGCTTGAGTTGTTTGGGACAGATGTTTGAGATGCTGAATTTGGTCAGGAGAAGGGAGCACAAAGTCTTTGTCTTGTTTATCATTTGAAGCTCAATATATTAATATAGATGCTCAATATATTAATATAGATGTGGCTTTCAAAAGGAGGTTATGAGTGGATGAACAGGGCTTCCTGTTACATGTTTCTTGTGTTGGAAATCCCTAGCTGTGATTGAAAGGATCAGAAGGTGGGATTTAATTGAAAGCAGTTTACATGCAGTTGCGTGTAACCAAATTGTTAAAACTTTCCAGTGAGATAGTATGCTCTTGACAACTACAAAATGGGAAATGGAACAAAAAACATTGTGTAAAATGGCTTTATATTACTCTGTGTTATTTGGATAAATTACAAACCAGATTCTCAACTGATGTGAAGTGGTAAATTTCTACAGAATTAAGAGTTATGTTTTTTACTATGTTGCCAATGGCAACTGAAACTATTAAACTAGAGCTTTGTGACTCACTTGTTTACTTTTTGGTTTTCTGTAGAGAAATAAATCCATGGCAGTCATTTTTACTTCCTGATTCCAATATGCACTGTAAAGTTAAATGCTATGTTATATTAACGTGTGATGTTTGTTGAATTCTTAAAAAAACCCAACAAAACCCAGTCCGTTTTAGATGAGGTCAAATAATAATGAAAAGCTCTATTCTTGATGGCCTTGTTGAACTGCTTCTGATAGCTGTTTCATGATAGCTGTTTCTTTTATTTTTATTAAAGGCATTTTTGTTGTTTGCTTTAAAGCAAGCATGGATAGAAACAGTAACAGGAGCTACTCTCATTTTTGACAGAAATGTTTGATACTAGAATATCCAACATGGGACAGGATATTTTTCTAAACTAGCTGGAACAGTATTAAAAGTTCCCAAACACTTTACATTAAAGGAAATAGTGGTCATTGTGACTAATACTGGAAACTTCTGTATCTGAAATTTCAGCATTTATAGAAGGATCAAGATTAATAACTTTCGAAGCCATTTAAAGCAGGATCTAGTGCAGAACAAACATAGAAAGGCACAAAACAAAAAACAAACCAGCAAAAACAGTGTGGCATCAGCATTGTTAGCAGTCATGAGAAGCTATCATAAAAATTAGTAGTTGCTTCTGACCATGATGGAACGCTGTGAGTGTGTGTCCCAGGAATCTGGGCACACAGATGCTTATTTAGAAATTGCAATTCTCCCTATTGCCCTTTGGTATTAATTCCTTGTAAAGAGGCTTATATCTCTTTGCATAAGAAAGAACCTGCATTTGTCAAGTGACCTGAATGCTTTTAGAGGAGTGCCTAGTAATGCTCTGGAAATGCATTTTGTTGTTCCTCTGCTCTGTCTCTTGAAAGTGTCGCTTCTCATAATTGGCAAAGAGTCAAGTACTCAGTTTGACCCACAAAAATAAGTGTGATTGATCTGATATCTGTCCATCTTCCTTTTTTTTCCTCTCTGCAGTCTTCTGTTTTGCATCTCCCTCAAACCAAATGGACAAGGAGTACTGCTAGTGTGGAATGGTATTTCATGCCTATTTGGCAAGGAAGGAGATAGATGAGTGGACCAAACTAATTAGGCCACATCACAATGTGCACACTTGTTCACTTCTTGCACTTTTCCTGGATGTGAAACGATGAGTATTTGGTTGTTCTTCTACTGAGTTCATTGTTCTGGAGCGCAGTTGCTGTTCAACTCTCTTCTTGCCCCCCTCTTCCTTTCCCTGTGATCTGAAGAGATGTGGTACACCCCCTTTATCCCTTTCCCAACTTTTAAAGTACTATGTTCATCACAGTAGGAGGGTATCTGCCCATGGAATATTTCCTCCAGGGAGGTGGTGAGCTGCTGTGGAGACACTGGCAGTGGAGCAGAGCAGGATGTGAAGATGGAAGGAGGTAGCTGGAATAGCTGGACGCAGGCAGCATCTCTGTTGCTTTTCGGCATTACTGTACCTGAGCCCTGTCCACATCCCATACATGTCCTGCAATGCCTAGTTCCAGTCTTAATGGCTCCCTAGCAGTGCAGTGTTTTGGCCCTCCAGAATAAATTTCTCTCCAGCAGATACACATGGCAGAACTCAAATCATGTCCTCTGCTCAGAGACATAGTAGGGAACTTTATTTTTGTAGTCTACAGAGGTAGAGAGAATTGGAAGGCTTGATGTTTTTAAAAATAGTTAAAAATTAACAAATCTGTTATGATTTTTAAAACGAGTGGAGCTTTATTTCACATAACCTATGCCCTCTCTATCCCCACGCTGTAGTCTTTCTCTTATCCTATAAAAGAAATTACTTTTGAGACTGGAGGGGTGGGTACCACAAGGAAAAGTACAATTAAAAAACAGAAAAGTATTCTTGTGCTTAGAGAACTTTAAGAGTGTATTTGCTGGGCTTAGATAATTATGTTTGGCATATGGACAAGCCTTTGGTTCCTTTTTTTGAAGAAAACTACACGTGAACTCGATCCGCCCAGTTTCTCAACTGGAGTAAATACAACTTGCAACCAGCCAGTCAGGATTAACCATTTTTATGCACTTCTTCCATGCATAAGCTCTAGTGTGTGCTATTTTAGCATTACCATTCCAGTTTGTGTATGTCACTAGCTTGGACACATAACTTGGGTTGTGCTTTCCAGACTCTGCTGTTTGAACTTCTCTTGATTTGAATATTATCTCAAGGTCAGCAATGACAAGTAGTTAAGGCAGGGAGTTTTACAGTGTTGTTCGTACTTACTGTATATACCCTGTACATTGTACTGTAGGTATAATGTAGTGTATTATAAATTCTTGATGCTATATGCTTGTCTTCCTGCCTCTTGAGGAAGCTTCACTGCTACTTTAAATATGTATATTGCAACGCTTATTACAGGACTTGAGGACTGACATGTCCAGAATCACTATTACTAAAATTGTCACCTGTCTAAGCCAAGGATTAAACATGGCATGAGAAATTGCAAAGGGCAATTCCGTGAGTAGAATCACATGTGTGGTTATACCAGGAAACTTTAACGCCATCAGGGTGCGTTGTGATTCATAATGAGCCAAGGGTTACATACTTTCAGTGTTTTGAACAGACAGACTAATTCCTGTACTACTTCATTCTTTGACCTGTTATTGATTGTACAGAGAGTTTGTCTTGTTTTAAAGATCTGAGAGCAACTGGTTGCACAGCACCAGCCCAGTAAGCTGTGTGAGACCCATCAGATGGAATATATTGACTAAAATACCAACTTAATTCTGGAGACGTGGATTCTTCTGTTGGCTTTTCTATGAAGTCCTTGGCTGGCCTAGGGAGGGATGGTGGTGATGGTAAAATTGTTATTTCATAGCTGCTTCTCTCTCTGTGGGGGAGAGAAATGTCTTTTGCATAAGTAGTGAATGATTTTTGTGTGCTTCTGTGTTTGGATACACAGCTTCATTTATTTGAAAAGGACCTGATCTGGGAGAGGGGGGAACCCCTCGTGTCAGCACTTCAGGGAACCTGAAATTGTGCACCCTGAAGCTAAGGAGGACACTTTGGAAAATGAGGTGTGAACATTGTGAGAGGTAAATTAAAAATCCAGATTCAGATCTTGCTGGTACTTTGGATGAGCAGTTAGACTACTTAATATCTGCATTTCTTAGATGAAAAACTTTGTACAAGTAAAGTGATGGCTAATAAACTGTGACTCAGAAAGAGCTACGTTAATAACTATAGTACATCTTTATAACTGTTTAAATGCAAGCATTTTTCAATTTTCTCCTGAAATAAAAGCAGGGATCTGAAATCACATAGGATTTCATAGTCCTAGATTTCTTTTCTCTGTATATAGCCCTGTGTTCAGTCTCCTGTAGATTTCTGCTGAGTAGACTAAATCAACAACCTTAAGTGTGCATTGGCTTTGAGGGGGGATCCAAGTCCAGAGGAAATGAGGGCCTGGTATGGCATAAAAGAAAGTGATAAGATATTAGGAAGAAGTACTTTTGACTTATGAATTTGCAGGATACGATGCTGGAGATATTTGGAGTGGACCAAAAGAGCAGATTAAGTAATTTTAGATTGTGTTCACAAATAAACCCCTCAATTGTTGCTTTACTTGGAGGGATGGAGAGGAGGAAGCAGGTGCTAGAGCGCACTAGGAAAAAAACCCCACATTTCCCTGTAATTTCAGGGTAATATTACAGCCCCTGAAGAGGGCAGGAGCCCTCACTTGTTATTTGGGAACAGTCCTTCTGCCATGGAGCCCTTTCCCTTGGACTCTGCAGCATGTATGAGAGGGTGCTGATAAGTAGCAGCTGCTTACTTGTTTTCTCACTCCCAAGCCTGCCTCTCTGCCTTCCCTCTGTCAGTCCCTTGACTTGCGTTCTTAGTGATTCTGTTTCAGTATCCATCCAGGCTGAGCTGTGTGTCAGTTCACACAGAGTCTGTTTTTAATTATCTCCCTTTTCTGACGGGATCTCAGTGTTAAGCCAAACAGAATAATTACCATGCTTCTTTGGAGATATTTTTTATCTTTTTTCCTCCCCAAATGTTTGCTTTCATATTAAAAATTGATCAGAGTCTTGAGGTGGTTGCTTTGCTAGCAGTTTCTTAGATTCTTGAGGATTTATTACTATGAGTGAGAGTCAAAGGATCTTCATTTTACATATGGCTATGAGAATGTGCTTTTCCATGAGAAAATATTCACTCTTCACTTAACCCTTCCGGCTGCATTTTATGTTTGTTTCTTCAGTTTGTCAGAAAAGGCACCATGAAGAGAAATATGATAGTGGTATTAACACTGTGACTGGAATGGTGTCCAGATGTATGGTCAAGTTTGTAATTCAAACTGTATCCAAACTGATAGTAGTATCCAAACTGATACAGCTGTGGTGGACAGGGGGACAGACAAATATTCAGGCACTGAAGTCCTTCAGTCTGGAACAGAAGGAGAAAACTTAACTGAGAATAATAGCCGTTGTTCCATGTTAATTATCTTGAACTATTAGGCAGTTATTTTTGACTGTCAATTTGAGAGGAAAAGGATAGTTAACTGTTGTGGGACAGAGAGAGAGAAAGATGTGATTGTGGCCTGTTGGAATATTGAGGATTAGCTAGAAGAAGGGGATGGAGAAACTTCTAAGGCATGCTAACACTAATATCCTTATTGGATCTCTGAACTATTCCCAGTTAGACACATCAGCTTCCAGGCTTAGAAGCAGTTGGAGTTTCACTTGAGACTTGCAAATGGGTTGAATGAATGTTTTGTGAAAAGACGTTCTTCCATTGCTGATGTGGTGTCTGTTTCACATATCTGTGTGAATTCATTCTGGTATGTGGTGGTTGCCTGTTTCACTGAATCACAGAATCACTGAGGTTGGAAAAGACTCTAAGATCAGCTAGTCCAACCGTCAGCCATCCCCACCATGCCTGCTAAACCATGTCCTGAAGTGACACATCTAAGGCTCCAGGGTGACCTTATAGCAGCCTTTCAGTACCTGAAGGGGGCCTACAGGAAGGATGGAGAGGGACTTTTCACAAGGGTGTGTAGTGATAGGACAAGGGGGAATGGCTCTAAACTAAAAAAGGGCAGATTTAGACTAGATATTAGGAAGAAATTCTTCACCATGAGGGTGGTGAAACGCTGGAACAAGATGCCCAGAGAAGCTGCGGATGCCCCCTTCCTGCAAGTGTTCAAGGCCAGATTGGATGGAGCTCTGAGCAACCTCGTCTAGTGGAGGATTTCCCTGCTCATGGCAGGGGGGTTGGAACCAGATGATCTTTAAGGTCCCTTCCAACCCTTACTATGATTCTATGATTCTATCTACATGTTTTTTGAACATCTCCAGGGATGGTGACTCCACTACTTCCCTGGGCAGCCTGTTCCAATGTTTGACCACTCTTTCAGTGAAGAAGTTTTTCCTAATATCTAATCTAAACCTCCTCTGACGCAACTTGAGGCCATTTCCTCTCGTCTTATCGCTAGTTACCTGGGAGAAGAAACCAACACCCATTTCACTGCAACCTCCTTTCAGGTAGTTGTAGAAAGTGATATGGTCTCCCCCCTCAGCCTTCTCTTCTCCAGATTAAACAACCCCAGTTCCCTCAGCCGTTCCTCGTAAGACTTGTTCTCTAGACCCTTCACCAGCCTCGTTGCTCTTCTTTGGACATGCTCCAGCACCTCAACGTCCTTGTAGTGAGGGGCCCAAAACCGAACACAGTATTCGAGGTGCGGCCTCACCGGTCACTCCCAAGGCTTCTGGTGAGTGAAGCAGGATATGTGAAGTCTGATACTTTTATTCAGGGCAGGATGGGAGCATTTACAGTGATAGTTGAAGAAATGGCTTGGCAAATCTTGCTTTGGTTGCTCTGGTGTGGTTCTAATTATCACATGTTGGTTTGTGGGAAACAGTTTAGCTCTATTCTCAGAGAAAACCACAGGGAGAACAGTGTGCTTCCAACAGATGAGGAAACAACAACAGTCTGTGTAGATAAATGGGAGGTTGAAGGCCATAGTAGGACAGATAGAGATGGAGAAGAGTAAGTCATGGTCTGGCTCTTATCTACGCATACTTTCTCCTCTCCACATCTGACTCTTTATTTCTGTACACTTCCCTAACTGTCATTCCACTGTCTTAGCTCTGCTCTACTTGCAAACAAACCCTGCTTTTCCACGATTTTTTTTTTCCTCACCTTCTTTCCTGCTGTGTTAGATGTGTCCCAAATACAGAACCCTTTGTTCTAAATAACCTCCTCAGTTATGGACTTCCAGGTATGTTGTTCTCCTTTCACAAGAGCCTTGTTTCCCACGTGCCCTCAAAACTGTTCCTTTGTTCCTGTATCTCCTTTGTTCCTTTATCTCGTATCTGTCTTAATTTCTTGCATGCTCTTTATCCTTTCATTTCATCAAGCTGTGGAGAAACTCTTGAGAGCATGACCAGAATGTGTGTAAAATTTGGAAACTAAGGGGACAAGAAACAAATACTGTTGTTGCCAGTTTCTCCCTTTTCCTTGGACGCTGCCTCAGTTTCAAATCGGGAGATGGGAATCCAATCCCCAGCACTTGGATTCTTCCTGAATATGACCTTACAAAGCATTGATCTCTCTCTCTTTCTACCCTTATTACCAGGAAAACTCTGAATATGAGCAAAGTTTGATTAGCTAAACAGTCAAATGCTCTGTGAGCATCACAAGCCTAGTCCAAAAGAGAGTTCTCAGTATGTAATCAATAGCTGCTAAATACAAAGGCGGCAGTTAGGAGATTGTGGTTCGTTAGGCACAGCACAAGCTTCTGGTGTTTGTGGTGTTTGGATTTTTTTTAAAGCTTAGAGATGTTGGTTAGTTCATACACAATGGGTATGATTTGTGAATTACTAAATGAAGAAAAATATGTAACAAAATCACTTAAAGTCTCCGTGCTCTTGAAAGCATCTGGAGCTTTTGCTGGTAACTTTAGTTGAGCTGAGATTTCTCACCATCTGCTTCTGTCCTTTCTTCTCATCCAGGTGAAGGCAAAAAGTGACTCCAGTTCCAAAAGGATTCACAGTGTTTTTAAGGAAGCAATAAGAATGCTACAAGAAAAAGGGGTGGTTTTCCAGAAACCTAGTAGCTCCAAGGACTTATACCATGTAAGGAACTGAGCTGGGGTTGCGAACAAGTTCAGGGGTGTGACTTTCATAGTCAGTAGAAACAGTAGAAATGTTTCAAAAAGAGAATCTGCACATCCAAGTGCTGTCTGTTTACTCGAGTCTTATCTGCAGCTTACTTGACTGTTGCTTTTACCTCTGTATCACGCACTGAGCAGTTCTTTTTGTAACTCAGCACCAGACTTAAGCACTGCTGTGGTTCCAAGTGCAGTCTGTGTTCCCTGGGTTGCCAAACTGCGCGCTGACACAGCTGAGCATGCTGCAGGCTGGGACAGTTCTCTTTATTGAAGTGGGTTGAAACTTGATGTTCTGCTGAGCTGGTCACCCTCCTTTGGGTTGAATGCTGTTATATCATGTTCTTCACCTAACTCATGGATGCTGCTAATGGTACTAAAAATAACTGAAGGTTTAACGTTCGTTATTAATCTCGGAGGCAGTATATAATGCAGACTGTAGTTACGACAGTGTTAGTTTAGAAGCATCATGGCCTTGGATTGCTTTTCAACAGTCATGCCATCTCCTGTGAAATAGACTGCTATAAATTGCCAGTTTCTTCTGTTATCTCCAGGTGACTGACCATGATAAGGAGCTGCTTAAAGTGACCCTCGATGTGATTAAAGAAGACTGTCGAAAACCCAGGCGTAAGTAGCGGTGTGATCAGGGCTCTGATGAGCAGGTGCTGATATATTTGTGACAGTATCTCCTCCTGCTGCTGGATTAGATACGCTTCTTGTCCTTACCCTTGAACCTGGAGTTAAGTTTCTGGTGTTGCTAATCAGTATAGCTAAAAGTGGGAGTGCAAGAGCGCCTTCCTGTGAGCATGGAGAGAGAAAGAGCAGGTGTGCCCAGCAGGAAGCAAACCTCTGAGATCTGAAACAAGGAGCCATTATCTTAGATCTGTGTCTTTTGAAAGTACTTACATTTTGGGAGGAACCAAATGTAATGAAGTTAGGTCAGCACCTAGCAGCTGTTGCTTTGCACTCTGGATAAAGTAGCAAATCTTGCTGGTTCAGTTTTTACAGGGGAGTTGACACAAAAGTGACTGTACAGAAAGGTGAAATCCCTGCCTTCGTTAAGTCAACATTAAAACTTACTTAAGTCAATAAGATATTCTCTGTAGATTTTAAGCTCAGGTAGAGCTCAGGTGGTTGTTCTTTGCAGGTGGGGATTTCAGTTTAACAAAATCCACTTTTCAGATAATGTACCTCGTGTGACTTCTGAGTTATCCCTGTCTCTCAAGCCTATTGTGTCTTATTGCCATAGCGATAGCTTGTGCTTGACTTGAATGTCTGCTGATTACACAGGTACATTGAATTTCTTTCAATTCATTGGGCAGAATTTGTCAGCAGGGATCACTTGCTGCTGGAGTGCAGCTGTTTGCGGGTAGAATGCACTTTAGTATAGAATAAATGACTGACTAGGACATAAGGCAATCTTAAACTGCTCATATCTTTGTACTATCATAATTACAATAGTGCTTGTAGGGCCTGGTATGTGATGGTTATCCTGCAGTGAAAAATGAAGTTTGAGTTTTCAACTGGCTGTCTTAAGCAGTGGTACAATTACAGACCAGGTTTATAGGTGGAGGTAAAAGTTCTGCATCTTTGGGGGATGGAGAGAGTAGATGTTACTGGGCATGCAGGTGAAGATGGGATCATTTGCTTGAGGTTGTTTCACTGCGGCAAGTTACCATATCACATTGTTTTATTGTCTTTTATCCAATTAACAAATACAAACATCTTCCATGTAAAAGACAAATAATTCCTCTGCCTATTTTATACATCAGCTTGTTCTTTTTGGAACCCATGTACATTTTGGATTTTTTTAGTTGTTGGTGGTGGTGGTGGAAAAAATTATTATTTTTTAAGAATTGTGCCACTATAAAGGTCAGAACCTGTATACAGTTGACACAGGGCACTGAGTGACTGCTAGCGTTTAACTCCCCTCTTGTGTGCTGTCACACCAGTGAAATACTCTCTGTGCTCCATGAGAGGTTGGGAGGTTCTTTGTCCCAGTCAGGAGGGGTCAACAGCAGAGAGAAACTTGTAGATCGCTCACAGAAAAGACTTTGAAGAGTCCTGAGTCCTCAGTTTCCATACTGAGCAGGTTAAAAATAGCAACTTCTTTACAGACCCTCTTGTTCTCCTTCAAGCTTTCCACCTAGTTGCCTGTTGTAAAGAGGACAATTTCCAGCTCAGTATCTCTTCTTCTGTCAGTTTTCAGAAGGACCGTTTCAATGTCCTGGTCACTGCTAATAGATTTTGAGAAGTGAAGCCAAGCAGCTTCAGTCGAAACCACGAGGGTGGTGCGGATGCGGTGTTGTCCCTGCATGAGGCAGGAGCGCAGTGCGCAGTGTGCCTGTCGGCCCCCCTCTGCTGGTGGATGGCACTGTGGGACGCCCGCTTGGCCTGGGATGGGGAGCAGGCTGGTAGGGGAAAAGTAAGAACGTGGTAGTACCTCGAGGGCTTTTGCTTGTTGATTGCAAGAAATTCCTACCCATCTTCCTTCAAGAGTAGTATTAATCTTTCAAAGACTGATTTATGATAAACCAAGCTATTCTCTCCAATGAGTTACTTCTCTGCCAGGTTTCAAGGCAATGCCTCACCCCACTGCTTTAGTTGTGAAACATTCTCAGACCCAACCCAGCTGCCTGGAACTGTTGTACAAATAAAAAAATCCTCAGCGTGCCTAGTCAGAGCCCCACAAACTCTGATCTGTAATATGCCTACATGACAATCCTAGTCCTTGGCTCCAACTGTAATTCGAAACAGCCTGATCTTAAATGCCCTCATGTGAGGCTGCTGTGCGTCTATCTAGAGGCTTAAGACAGCCAGAAAAGGATGACAGTACGTTTTCACTCCTGACTGAACTGCATGATGGTAGACTTAGTCCAGATTTGTTTCTTCTTTTTTTCGGACACATTTGCTCTCGTTTTAGGCTTAGATGAGACTAATAGCAGAGAGGAAAAAAACAGATCCTCTTGAAGTTAAAGTTAGTATGTCAAAATGGACCCTGTGTGAGATGTCTAGTGGACAAATGGTAGTTGTTCTATAACTGTCACCGGTATGTCAGTGAAAGAGGGACAGCGTCACTCCACTGGAAGGAGTGTATTCCCTCAGAGTTGGGTCATAGACTAGGAGTGTTTCTGGGTTACTTAATGGTTGTACAGACCTGCAGCTACCCCAAAATGCCATTTTCTACCAGCATCTAGGAGGAAAGTATGTGTTGTACTGTTGGGTAACACTTGAGTCACTAATCTAATTCATTGAGACTTAAGCTAGGTTACTGTAGATCAGGGATGGGCACTTTGACCGTCTTATGACAAACCTATGACTAATGCAAAATGCAGCTACCCACTTTGTTTGCAACAACAGTCACTATGACCAGGTAGAGGCATTGTTCTGCTCTCTGCAGTTATCCGTCCTAGGGTGGTGGACACATTTTTGGCTACCAGCCACAAAGGTCTTTCATCACACTGGATCACTGACTTCTAAAGAAATACCTTTGCCTGAATCACACACAGCCTAATAGGCTGAACTGTTTATTTACCAGTACTCACCAATGCCTCCTATTTACCAGTGACTTTTCCCAGCAGCTTCTAAGGCAGTTCTGGCTCTCAGCTGATTCTAGAGTAGATTGGCAAAAAATAAAACCAAAGGCAGCAGCAACAAAATACATGGATCTTCCTGGCCCATGGAAATTTCTCAGTACCCTTATCAAACTTACCTTACATTATGTGAGCTGAGGGCTGAAGAGGAGGAGGAAAGTCGTTTGTGCTGATGTGTCTCATTTGTGCTAGTTTGCCATTGGTAGCCATGGAGGAGAAAGAAATCTGTTGTGGCCCTCAGAACTCGGAGACAGGGAGCCTGCAGCACTGATGATCAGTAGGTTTGCAGGGTCTGTTGGGGGAAATGTTGAGTGGCATAGCTGAGCTTCAGTTGATGGCTCCACCAGGCACACAGTAGCTGCATGCAATACTGCAGTCCTTAAGGACCTTTGTCTCTGGCTTGCCCTCTGGGAAGGGGGACTTTTTACATTTCTCTTGTACATTTTCAGGATTCATTTCTCTTAAAAGGAGATAAAATTTGATACTGAAGTTCTGTGACTTTCTATTCCCATAATTGCCTGAGGAGTCTGAAGTGCAGAATTGGGATTGCATTGCTAGGCGAATGAAAATTGCACTGTAGCAGTTTTTCCACAAGATGCCAGCATTGGGCAAGCAGTTACAGGTCATGGCCGTGGACCGACCTTCTGTTCCAGACGTTTTTGAAGTTGACTATGAGCAAAAGGATTTTCATTTCACTGCTTCTGCACTTGCAGAAACTGGATGGCTTGCATAGGTGGACAGTGGAGGTATCCTGAAGTTATTAACCTCATCATCAGGTTGTACTGAATGAGCCCTTTGTATTAGAGTTTGTAAGACTGATTATCTTTCACCTTTATTACTAGTGTTACAGCCCTGACACTTCCCAGAAAAATTAGTGGGAGCAGCTGATAACTGGAGAACTGTAGACGGAGTGGATCTCTTCCCTCTGAATACATGCGTCTCTGCTTTAGTACCTAGGGCATTCTTCTCTGACAGCTGTGGGGTTTTTTGTGACTAATCTGGATTATAGTAGTTAAAAAGAGTCAGTTAGACTACAGTCTTTCCTCCATGCCTGGCTGCATTCTCCTCTTTATCTGCAGATGCTGAAAAAGGCTGCCATTTTCTTCATGTCCTGAGCTGTGTTCGGCAGAGCTACAACCCCTCTCTGGCTGAAGTGGTGATGCACCGTGTCTTGGAACTGCTGGAGATTAACAGTGACGTTGTCAGCACTATGGAAGGATATTATATGGCATTCTAAAGAGAGAAGATAAGATGCATTTGTTCTGGTCCATTCAGGATAAAGGAGGGAAGAAGCAGAGATTGAGTGATCCTGAAAAGCTGCTATTACCTGGTATGATCTAGATGGGGAATAAAAGACCATTCTGATTCTCCAAATGCTGTTTTTGTCCAACTCTGGAGAAGTTGTCTAAATACTTCTTTTAATATTCTTGCTGACTTGCTTGCTATTCCTAGTGAAAGTTTTACCATACTGATTCGGAACATCCTAATACGGCAGGGGAACATCCAGTGAGCCCTAAAGAAAAGTCACTGCTGAAAAGTGCTGTTTACAGCAGTGGTCATGTCAGGACTCGTTTTTCTGGCTTAAAGACTGAGCCTGTGATCTTTCCATATAGTAATGGCTGTAGATCTTTCTTTTTATGTATATACTTTGTAATAGCCAGAGAAAGTACATGCAAGCAAACAATCAAAAGATTTGTCTGTCCTTCCTGGCAGTGTTGGTGTACCCATGTCTGTAAATATGTATTCCTGAATGTGCACAGCTTTCCCACTACTAAAGCGGTCCTCACCTTTCTCTGAAAAGTAATATTCAGGAATGGGATCCTGCATCCCTTCCCCATCCTGCAGGCTTGCCCACTGCTTGTCAAGCGTGTCTGGATTGCCCTGGCTACCGTGTGCACTACTGATGTGTGTTGCTGTCGATTCTGTTCAGACCAGAATTTTCAAAATCAGTCACCATTTTGCTGTTTATTTTTAGATTGCTTCCTACATCACAAATGGTAAACCATAAATTAGATGCTTTGGAAAAGAAAATACGAAAGCCAGCAAGACCCACTGTAATCTCCATGCTCCCTGTTGCCTTTTGTGTCTTCTATTCCTTGTCACGTTTGGGGAAAAATACTATCCATATCTGTGCTTGCAGAGGAACACAAGACATTGACGAAACAGCATTGGCCTAAAGGTTACTGCACAAGACGTTTGATCTGGAATAATCATAACTGTTATGTGCCACAGTTCAAAGCCTGGAGCTGTTCAGTATTTATCCTTAGAGACAGCTTATCTGTTTAATTAATCTGTTTAATTAATGGTGTGGAGATGAGACCTCTAACTTGAAAAGAGTAGAAAGAATTGAATGTATCCTTCCTCTTTCCTCTGCACCTTCTCTGTAACAGCTGAAATAGCAGACTCCTAGGAGGCAGATGTAGCAGTAAAGCCCTATAAGGATTGACATAGCAGGGAAAAATAAACCATATGCATGAGGAAAGCCAGTGAGTAGCCCCATGTGTGCCAGGTCTCTGGTTTGTTGTTATATTACATGCCTCATTCCAAACACTGGCTGGAGTGAGATATAGGCTAAGAGAAAAACATGATAAAATATTTGGCATTTGCATTCAGAGGCCTGTGGAAAACTCTGGCCTTAAAGAGATGGTGCGTTTGTCCATAGTGGAAAACTGCATATGAGTCATTCTTTTGCTGTAAATTCTCTCCTTGCTGCAGGGCTCACTAGTTGGTCTCCCTGCAGGCTGCCCTACTCCTAGCGTTCTTGGTCTGTTTTGAATTGGGTACCTTCTAGTCAGATCTTAATACGGGCCTGAACATGCGCTGAAAGGATGTACCTGTGCAGAAGGAAATAGAAGAGGGTTAAGAAATAATTGTAGAAGTCTTCCCTTGCCTTCCCCTCCCTCCTCATGAACGTCTCTGGAAAGCAAGGAAAGAAGTCCAGATTCTGAGTGGAGTGGTACTGAGGGGAACTGCAACTTTAATTTATACCTACAAAAAGATCTGGTTGGCCACAGAGGAGATTTGCTTCTCAGATTCCTGCTCTGATTACTGCTAAGTTTGAAGTCTATGGCTTCCCTGTTTACGGGAGAAGTGGTTTGGAGTATCGATTCCTAAATTCACACTCAATTCAGGAGTTAACCGTATGTTACTGCTTGATTATGGACAAGTTGCCTACTTGGCATGAATTTGAGGATATTTTAAAGGAAAGTATGTGGTGTCTTGGACCATATGGAAGAGCATGGCATCTAATTTAAGAGGCTGACTTGGCCATTTTCTTCAGAAGTCCTATATTAGCAGAGTCTGATTTTGCTTGGAAAGAGTTACAAGAACACTGCTAGCTCAGTGGGAAAGGTGATCTCCTCTCAGGTTAGAAGAGAGAAAGACTCTGGTTCTCCTGAGGGTGTCAGCCAAGTGTGTGGGCTGGACAAGTTTTGGGAGGAGCTCTGTGCAGCTGAATCTTGGAGGAAAACATAGTCTGGAGATCGTATTGCTCTTTAGGGTCTCTTTAAAAAATAAATTAATACCAAAATAGGATTACATCTTTATCCTTTGCAGCTTGGATAGTCATACACGCAGCATCTAATGTGTTCCGTTGTCTCCAACTTTGATGCTGCAGTTCCTGTGTTTTAGATGCGTTTCTGTGTGTAAAGTCTGTCTAAAACCCCTGGCCCCCTGTTTTCTATGCATTGGAGGTTGATGCAGACACAAAGTGTCTTTCCTGTCTGTTCTGACCTGTTGCAATTTGAAAGCACTGATCAACTGTGAAGCGTCAGAGATGACTTGAGAAGAATTCATCTGGGGAAAGACAGATAAGTGATTCTGGAAAGAACCTGTCCTTAGAAGTTTTTAAGTTGGTCCTTGCTGGCGATGCTGGACGCTTGTGATTGAGGGTGCATTCTGTTGGAGATTGCTTCCCAAGAACGGGAAAAAGGGATTTTTGTCACTTGAGTTAACTCAGGGAAATATGAATGAATATAAGGGACCCTACAGTTTCTACAAGAGTGAAAGGTTAAAGTAAAATTAGTGGAGGAGCCTAGATTTGTGTTACACAGATTCTAATTCTGAGTAATCATATAGAATAATTGTGCCTTAAGCTTGCATGCTTAATTTTTTCCACTGTCGCCACTCAGGACAGACTAATGCTTACTCTGGTTGAGTGCATTCCCTCTCTTCTACCTACAGGGAATACCGTGTGCATATGCTTGCACAGAAGAACTCCAGCTAGCTGTGGGAGCACAGAGCTCACTGTAGGTCGATTTACCCCTTGACTCAGTATCTCTACAGTATGCTTCTGTGACAGCAGTCTAGACATACCCGTACTGGTATAAGTCACCTTTATGTAAGTCTAACTACACACACTGGGGCTTTTACTGCTAATAAACTGTCTCTCTGTTTAAAGATCATATCCTTAACCAAGAGAGTCATATCATGCACACTGTTAAAATTCTTAGACTTGGACCACACCTACAAAATATTGTGCGGAACATTCAGTGAAAGCATGCTTTCTTGTTTAATTTGAAAACTCATTAGGCAACACAATCATTACTGGTTTATTAAAGGACTTTGAAGGTGGCACTTTAATGTAAAACTGACAAGTGAGAATTCATGTTGTAGGACTGCTTCATGGCCAGTTCCAGTTTCCATAGAAACAGTTATGGCAGTAAAAGGCAGGTAAGAAAATGGAGTTTTTAAAAGCAGTCAGCATTTTTACGTTACCTTAAAAAGGTATGTTTCCATAGAAATGCAGCGCCTGAGAACAACAGTTACCAAAGAATCTTAATCTTCTGTTCTAGCGAAATGTAAGGTGATTGCTTTTCTGGTAAGGAAATGAAAGAACAACCCTACCTTCAGTCCCCGCCATCTGCTTAGGTGAGAGAAGAGATGAGGTTGCTTCATGCCTCAGTTTCCCTCTTTTGTAAACTGGGGATAATATAGCTCCCTGACTAGGGCATAAGCCTCAATTTTTCTTAATGTTAGTGATTAAAAGCTCTTGAGATCATTGGTGGGAGACAAGAACTCTGTAGAAGTGGATGAATGGATAGATGCTGGAGTGGGACGTAGTTCTAGTCCAAGCCCCACTTCTGCTAATAGCTTTATATTTTTCTGCCTCTCTTTCCATGCATGTTGCTTTGCCTGTCCTGTCTTTTTGCTCTCCAGGTCCTATGAGGCAATGCTGGTCTCCCTGTTTTCGTTTGTACCAAATATTTTTCCTGGAATCCTGTTTCCTGTTATGACTTTTTAAAAATAAAAATCCAGATAAATGAGCTCTGAGTGTTCATCTTCTCAGATCTTTGGATTGTAAAATTTTGCCCGTGCGGGTATGTATTTTACACAACCTACCTGGGAAATGAAGCTTTTTCTTTCAAAGTAATAAATGAAAAATTTAAAGATTGGCGACATGACTGAAAGCTGTTATGTTTGTGGATCTGTCCATACTTGCGTATTCCAGTGATGAACATCATAAGTAGAAGGAGTTGCTAATTCATTATTCAGAATGAGAATTCATCAATGAGCAGCCAGTGAGGCATGGAGCCACATGGAGATTTATGAGACAAAGTACTGAAAATCTGCTTGTCGAAGAAATGCAGTTCAGTTTGCTTTGGGAGTAAGCCGATCCTGTGGGGAAAAGATGTGCCTAGCAAAGATTTGTATCTTTATACTTAGCTCTAAAGCGGAAAGGAGCAAGTTCAGGTCCCATGGGGAACCTGAATTTTGAAACTTCCTGTCAGCGTGGTGCTATGTCCTTGATTGCCATCTTTCAGCACGGTCTCCAGCCCTCCTGCCCCAACCCTCCAGGCCAGCGAGCAAACAAAAGTTCAGCCGCAGAGATAAAAGAATAGTATAATAATTGGTTACCGTCCTCCAGGAGCTCCAGAGTTACAGAAACATTTTTGTGGATGTTTGTTGGCAGCAGGGAAACGCTGAGTCAGGCATCTTGGGCTTCATTCCCAGCAATATGCCATGTCAGGCACAGAGGCTTCCCCCCTAACGTCTTTCATCTATTTCTGCTCTCCAGTCTCTCCTCTAACTGTCATTTCTCAGGCCCTTCATTTCATTCACAGTTTCATGGTTCATCTCTGCACCACAGATCCTGGTCAAACCTCTTTCCTCTTTACTTTGTTCCCTTTTTCTTTCCTAATTCAAACATCCTTGTCAGCATCTGGCTATTGAAAGCTTCAGTGTAATCCCCTTGCCTAACTGACCTGGCACTGTTCACAGCCCGTTCCGACTCCGGCA